ATCACATCTACAAAGCTCAAGAACACTCTTCTTTAAATAACTACTGAAGCCCAATTTCAACCATAATGCCTACAGGAATCTGCCATTAAGCAGCTAACTCCATGGCTAATAGCTATTTTTAAAAAAATATCTAAAATGCACTGGTTTAATTATAGCTGATTTTTTGTTTAAATCTCTAATCCAGCTAGGTATGCACATCACTAATCTATGGAAACATGTTTCCTACCCAATTACCCATCATTTCCTGGTTTTGACTGTTTGTCAAACCCACTTGCTGCATCTTATCCTAAATAGGACTTTATTATAGGCATGCAGTCATGCCTGACCAATTAACTTCTTTGATGAGGTAACTGGTTCTGTGGAGATGGGGAAGTCAGTGGATGTGATATAACTTGACTTTAGCAAAGCTTTTGGTACAGTTTCCCACAATATTCTTACCCACAAGTTAAGGAAGTATGGATTGGATAAATGGACTATAAAATGAATAGAAAGCTGGCTAGATTGTCGGGCCCAATGGTTAGTGATCAACGGCTCGCTGTCGGGATGGCGGTCGGTTTCAAGTGGAGTGCTCCAAGGATCAGTTCTAGGGCCGGTTTTGCTCAACATCTTTATTAATGACCTGGATGAAGGGATGGATTGCACCCTCAGCAAGTTTGTAGATGACATTAAGCTTGAGGGAGAGGTAGATACGTTGGAGGGTTGGTATAGGGTCCAGAGTTACCTAGACAGATTAGAGGATTGAGCCAAAAGAAATCTGATGAGGTTCAACAAGAACAAGTGCAGAGTCCTGCACTTGGAACAGAAGAATCCCAAGCATTGTTACAGGCTGGGGACCAAATGGGTACATTGCAGTTCAGCAGAAAAGGACCTAGGGATTAAGTGGATGAGAAGCTGGATATGAGTTAACAATGTACCCTCGTTTCCAAGAAAGCGAATGTAATATTAGGTTGCATTAGGAGGAGCATTGCCAGCGGATCAAAAGAAGTGATTATTCCCCTTTGTCACTGGTGAGGCCACATCTGGAGTATTGCATCCAGTTCTGGGCCCTCCACTACAGAAAGGATGTGGACGCATTCGACAGGGCAACCAAAATAATTAGGAGGCTGGAGCACATGACCTATGAGAAAAGGCTGAAGGATTTGGGTTTGTTTAGTCTGCAGAAAAGAAGTGAAGTTTCTGAAGGGAGGTTCTAAAGAGGATGGAGAAATTCTGCCATCCGTCACTACTGAGAACAGCCTAAGGAGCAATGGTCTCAAGTTACAGTGGGAGAGGTCTACGTTGGAAATTAGAAAAACTATTTCACTAGGAGGGTGGTGAAGCACTGGAATGGGTTACCTAGGGAGGTGGTGGAATTTCCATTTCTAGAGGTTTTTAAGTCTCAGCTTGACAAAGCCCTGGCTAGGTTGATTTAGTTAGGATTGGCCCTGTTTTGGGCAGAGGGCTGGACTTGAATACCTCCTGAGGTCTCTTCCAGCTCTATGATTCTATGAGTAGTACCTAGTGTGACAGGGCTTTACTCCTATAGGGAGCCTCTGTGGAGGAATTCTCCAAAGGGATGATGGATTCTGCAAATGCACAAAAGGGAGTCCGAGACCTAACCCATGTTGTGCCTTTGAAAGGCAAAAAAGAGAGGAGATTCTCAAAATCTCTCCCTTTGAAGTAGAACACTTGAGTCTTCCCATTTCCTAGATGACCTGGAGGAGAACTCTAGCACATATTGCTACATCTTCTAGAAATGTGTGTTTGTTTGTGAGTCTTGTTTGTTCTAGAACTCGTCCTAACCAATAAGAGCTAGGAGCACCAAATTTGGTATGCAGCTTCCTCTTATATCATAAGGCAAGGTCAGGGGTTGGCTGTGCCAGGATAATAGGATGTGCCCTGAATGCTATTTTTCATAGCCAAAGGAAAGGGAGGAATGTGACAGCAGAGACAGTTCTACTCACGCCTGACCCCAGGGGGCAGCAAGTGCTAGGCAGCAGCATAGCCCTCACCACCCAGGCCAGCAGCTGCTGGCCACAGCACGGTCCCTGCAGGCCCTGGGAGAAGCTAGTGGCAGCCTGTTTGCTCTACCCCTACCCTTGGGCTGGCCCCAGAGAGAATTCAGCTGGCGGGGTGCACACCAGAGACCAACCATCCCCTCATGCCCCCACCTTCCAACCTGCTTGAGCTATGTCCCCCCTGCCTCCAGCTTTAGGGCAGAGGGGAGGCACATGGGTGGGCCCACAGCCTGGATCAGGGAAGCTTTGCCTGTCCTGGTTTTGATACCCACCATCTATAGCACTAAGGGAGAAAATTGGGTACTCCCTCATCATCTCTGCAACATATCCAGTTTAAGGATGCAATGCCTCCCCTGCAAATCTTCACCTGTGGCGGGGGGCTGTATGAACAGAGAGCAGGTTACAGGGGAAAATCCACAGCTGAGCCCAATTAAATCTGCAGTGATGGCAAAGGCATAGCAACCCTCACTTTACACACACACACACACACACACACCCGTTCTGCACATGAGTCACAAATGATGATCACCCCACAGTCCCCATGGCACCCGCATGCTCAGGCACATTGCAGACTGCATGCCTACTCTTGTTTTTCTCCGTGTCTGATGAGAGGTGAATATTGGAATGAACAGCACTGGTGCAATGCCTGCTGTTGCTACCTTTCATGTCCAGAGCTTGTTCCGCCCCCACTCCCAAACCTAGCAACCAAGTGAACAATACTGTATTCCCTGAAGCCATGGAGGCAGCTGCACTAATGCCTCAACACTCAGGGATATCCACATTCACACTGGCATTACTCAGAACAGCATGTTCTCGGAATCCATCAGCCCTTCTATCTGCTTCCTGTTTATTTACAAAACACATTCAACTCTAAAACGCACCGGGGTCTGGATAGCATTGAAGAAATGTGGCACATACACAATATGTATTAGCTAGACAGAACCCTAACTAAGCAGGTGTGATTTAGGTCATTGGGAACAATTTTAAGTAGACAGCAAAGCTCCATGTGGAAGCCCATGCCAGTGTCTGTTGTGGGGTCTCACTGCACCCAGTCCACAGGGCCTGGCTCTTTGGCACAAGTTGTTTTAGAGATTCCCAGGGAACTCCTTGCCAAGATGGCAGCAGTCATTGTTGCATCTAGTATTAAAATTGAACTGAACACTTAGCACTTTTCACCCATCAGTGTTTTACAGATGAAATCATCATGATCCCCATGTCACAAGCAGGGAAACCAATGCAGACAGGTGCAATGACATGTCTACAGTCACACAGTCTGTAAGCAGCAGAGCTAGGGCTACATGCCAGATTTCCTGGTCACTCTATTACATGAATAGACAGAGAGGAAAAAGCTTAGCACTGCATCAGTATGGTAAAGGCGGATAGACTACACACCCTCTCAGATAGTATTGGGCAATAGCTATTGTATGTGTGTAATCACTAGAGATCCACTGTGTGGAGTTAGCTTGTGGAAGGAAACCTAATGGTATGTGGGTGGAACATTCCAATTTCCACCCTTGCTGCCACTGACAGCTGGCCACAAGACTGCATTCTCTCTTGCTGCATTCGGAGACCTTCATGACTGCTACAGTTCGATTATTATGTTGTTTTGTAGCAATGTATGAAACCACTGACCTTAAAAAGGTACTGTGTTCAGAATACAGCAAACCAGCAACAAATGAACCTCATGGCACATCACCACAGTACTCCACTACTGACTCCCCAGGGAATACCAGGTTCAGTTTAAGGTTTTAGCCTTCATCTTAAAAGCTCTCCATAAAAGGTTAGTTATAAGGGATTGCATTTCCCTGTCTGATCAAGCCCCATAGGACTGCTACATACCACTCAATGAAACTCATTCTCAGGAGTTTAATTGATGAATGCAGGAGACAGATCTTGCTTAGGACATTGGCCCACAAAACAGGATCTCACTCCTGGAAGAAATCAAAATAACCATGGCCCGTCAGAGGAAAATGCTTTACTTTCTCAATCCAGCCTTCTCACAGTAACAGCCTGCAGCCTGGAGGGAAGAGAGTTAACGCTTGTCTACATGTGATTTAGGAACAGCTGTTCCTGAATCACTCTGGCTACGTCTACACTGGCCCCTTCTTCGGAAGGGGCATGCTAATTTTGAAAGTGGGAATAGGGAAATCCGTGGGGGATTTAAATATCCCCCGCGGGATTTAAATAAACATGTCCGCCGCTTTTTTTCCGGCTTGGGGAAAAGCCGGAAAAAAGCATCTAGACTGGCCCGATCCTCCGGAATGCCAGTCTAGACGCTTTTTTCCGGCTTTTCCCCAAGCCGGAAAAAAAGCGGCGGATATGTTTATTTAAATCCCGTGGGGGATATTTAAATCCCCCGCGGATTTCCCTATTCCCACTTTCAAAATTAGCATGCCCCTTCCGAAGAAGGGGCCAGTGTAGACGTAGCCCTCATGTATAAACAAGCCCATAAATAGTTATGCATGCTTTTATGATTTTGTGAGGTGCTCAGAGACCATGGTGATGGGCATTGTCCAAGACTGATTAAATGCTTTAAGTACAGGTAGGGCACAGAGGTAAGAGTAGCAGAGCCTAGGGAAGGCTTTACAAACAATTAATTCCTCAGTGTTTGAGAGACAGGATTTATTATCATTTTAGAGACACTGTTTCTGAGTCAGGAAAATTATGCACTATGGTTGGGACTGTAGTTTTTATCTTGTTTTCATACCATACATCCCAGTCTACACGTAAGGAGGCATTACTTCCACTGAAAGGTTTAATCCACCCACCATACCTACAATGATAGCCAAGAAACTGTTAAGTGTTTGGAGCTGCCAATGTTTTTGTAAGGAGCTGCCAATGTTTTTGTAAGGAATTTGTTATTTGATGTACGTGCATGTTAAATTTCTGTGTTTGTAGTTCCCCCTTATTTCTAAGGACCATGATAGTTCTCACTTGGCATTATACAAAAAATCAGGTGCAGTATCAAGTCCATAAAGACACCTTATGGAATTCAGGCAGGAATAATCAAAAATGTTTTAATGATTAAACAATGTCTAACATTAACAATGTAGGTATATTCAGAGGAGCTAAGAGTTTATTTCTAGCACACTTAGCATAGTTTGAACATTACAACTGCTGTACTGAAATATGTAAAGTCTGTGCAAACCAATACCTAGAAATGAAGACACACAAGCTTTGATAATGTAAATGTAAACAGATGTTGTGTCTCTTTTAAAAGAATTAAGGGACCCCCACCCCAGGCTAATAAGAAAACATTATTTCCCTAACAAATGTGCAAAAAATAAAATGTTAAATATGTTAAAACTGATATTTATATAAATATCAAACAAAATAGTTAACATACAAACTTAAGCAAATGACCAACAGAATGTCTTGCATGATTAGTTAAATGTTCTCAAGCTCAATGAAAACATATTCATAATCTAAACTCCACCATAATAGATAACATATCAGCTATAGATGTCTGCTTTGCCACTGACTCCTCATTTGTGCAAGGCAAGATTTTATATTAATAGGAATTTTAACAAGCAGTTCTACACATATCTGTAGATAAGCCAAAAGGTAACAGGTGATCTACGCAGCTTACACTCAGGAAACAAACACTCATCTCCAGCACATGTCCATGTGATTATTTTTGAGTGGTGTGTGAACATCTGTTTAATTTTACTTTGTGGAAAAAATCTTTTTGTGAACTAGGCACATTTAAGAAGTGACTTAAAGTATGCTACACAAATAGCAATACAAATGCCAACTTAAATATGAATAATTGCATTTGAAAAGGACTATCCAGTCACTTTTGAAACTTGAATATGGCTGTGGTACCACAATGCTTGAAACTGGCAGTTTCCAGCATTAAAAACTGCTTTGCAATTTATCAAATCAAAGAAATAAAAAAGGTTTACCCTCCTTGTATAGTCCCTAACTCTTAGAGACAATAATTTAAGTCTTGCTGGACAGTTTAAGCATTAATGACACATGGAAAATAAAAAAATAAGATCTATTAAAAAGGTAAAATAAATTTCTCTCTGTTGTGACTGCTTAGTCAATTAAAGCCAAATATACAAAACTAAAGGCATCATTTTCAATTTCACTGTAACATGTAGGAGATGTTTAACGTTATGCATCACATACAGTACAGTAAAACAATCAATTGATTTTCTAAATGACTTAAGAAGTCAATCAACTCAAAGTTAAACATACCCTAATTTTCAAAACAATAATAAGCTTTGGGCCTTGCTTTTTATTTTTAAGGCATGTGTGTTTACCTACTGAAACCAACATTGTACAAATTACATTTACAATCACATGCATAATCTACAGTAAAAAAACATGAGTTTGAATTACAGTGTTTTGAAACTGTGAATCAGCACCTATTATATTGACTAGTAAGGCAACAGCAGTGTCATATACTACAATAATACTCCCTTCCACAGTCTATAGCAGGGTCAGTGATGCCTAGAATTATTAACTTTAACCTACTTTTATATTCTGTATTCAGTTTCTAGGGTGTTTGCACAGGTTAAGTCCTACATAAATCGCACTATTCTAGGCAGGAATAGTTACAGTTGCTGTTAGGGTGTCAGTGCACAACTCTTATTGTGCTTACAATCCGATTATTTTGTTGTTTGTGATATCAAAATGGATCCTCAGTTTGATCTTCAATCCATTCTTTGTTTTCTTTGTTTCACATTGTTCTCAAGGGAAGAAAAGCTGTTTGTGTACCCGTTCACAGTGGCTGTAGAGCCATTCTGATATTCTTTCCTCTTGGAGGATGCCTTCTTTTTGTAAGTCTAAAATACATAAAATGCACACACAGGGTTGTTATTTTTTAAAATCAGATATAAAATGGCCTATTCCCTCAAAGCAATTAAACATGGCTTGCACATCCGATTCCTAGCACAGGTCCCTGGTTACTTTGATATATTTTAAGTCCTGAACACATTCAGAGATGAATTTATCAGTAGCTATTATGCTGAATTTTTAAGCCAGAGGCTTAATGCTAGCCTGCTAGTGTTCTGACTGCAGAAAAAAACAAGTATGAATGCAAACAGTTTTATGTTTTAGAGAGGTATCTGGGGGAGTCTGTTACTTTAAAAATGAGTAATCCTGTGGCATCTTAGAGGCTAACACATTTTGGACTACTTGTTTTTAAACAGTTGTAAAATTATTCCCTGCCAGAAATACATACAAGTCAAGTTTTGAAGCGATTTCCTAAAAGTTGTTATGATCACACATGACACAGTCACGGTTTTTGAAGCTTTGGTCATGCACAATACTTCTTTACATGGGTCCACTGAAAATTACCTTTACAGGTCACCACTGTATTTCAAAATGAAAAGCTGTTCCTTGAATAGAGCACCATTTCCTACACACGTATACTTTACATCCCTTTACTTGCTACCAAAAGTGCTTAGCTGTTCATCAACTCATTATCCAAATTCCTAATCTCCTTGAGCTGCACATACCACATACAGGAGCCCAACATGCTGAAGGGCTGACAAGTGCCAATAGTGAAAAAAGCTTTATACCGAAGAGGGAAAAAACACATTTCAAGTCTTTCAGGTTAAGATTGGTGCAAAGTATGAATGCATGCTTGTTTTACCTGAATGTAGAAATTTGTGAAGAGGATAATCAAAGAGATCATATAGGAGATCTGGAAATACAGCCACCCCATAGGGAAGGCACATGGCCAAACAACACCACAGCTTGTCTGGAAGATTGTCAGGACAAATTGCGTCTGGAAAAAACAAAAAACAAAAAAAAAAAAACACCAGAGCACAATAGTGAAAAGAAGAGGGAAAAAACCTAACAAACCATGAACTACTGTAATTATTGCTAAACAAGTCAAAATGATCATTAAAGTGTGTCTGAAGCAGGGGTAGGCAATAAGATGGCAGCAGTTCACCAGGGTTAGCCCGTAGTAGGACACCACCCCTGAATTTACCTGCTCTTCTGCAGGTACAGGCACTTGCAGCTCCCATTTGCCACATATCACTGTTCCCAGTTAATGGGAGCTGTGGGAAGTGGTGTCCCAGTCTGTACCACTTCCTGCAACTATCATTGATTAGGAATGGCGCTCTGTGGCCAATGGGAGCTGCAAGAGGAGAGACAGGCAAATACAGCAGCAGCAGCCGCCGCCGCCGCCACCCACCAGTGGCTAACCTGGTGAATCATATCCGGCCTGTAGGCTGGTTATTGCCCACTGCTGGTCTGAAGACACCTTTGCCTTTGTATCAGGAGTAAGGATTTTAGTAAACATCTGTTGACAGACCTTTGGTTCAGGCCACTCTTGTTATTTTTGAAAACCATTTTACAGGCACCAGCATGGGTATAAAAGAACAGTACAAATGGATGTGGAAGGAGTACAACACAGAATTATACAATTGATTAAATCTACTTTCTTTACAGTGTAACTAAAGGGGGAAATGTTGAACAGTATTTAGAGAACCATTTACAACTGCACATTAAAGCCAGGCAGGAAAACAACTACTTTGCAGGATTAGAATAAAGAGCCTTGTTAGTTGCATGTCTGAGTCACATGCAGCTTCCAGTTTGTCATCAGAGCATCAGTCAATGACTAACAAATGCTTTAGAAGAATGCACAGGCTCAGAGTGGTTGTGAAGAAACTTAGTTTTTCTCTGTATCTGCACTACAGAAACAGAGGAAATCCAGTGGTAGGACACAGGAGCAAATTAAGCTGCAAGTCAGAGAAGCATGGGCAGAGCCATTACTAATCTTCTCCTTACAACTTACTGTTACATTATAATAACTGCCCAGTAGCCCCCATTATGCTACACACAATACAAAATGCTCTCTAGTTTATTAGCTTTCAAGTCAAGAAATTAAAATCCCCCCTCTCCATAGATAGGGAAAACAGCTCCTCCAGAGAAGTCTGGCAGGTAACCAAAGACTGAATAACTCACCAGCTGCCCCTGAGTGATGTATTTCTTCCACCACAGATACGGACGCATAGCCGGAATAGCAGACAATCCATAGTAGGAGTACATGAGGACATGGATAAAGCTGTTAAGAGTGGCACCAAAATATGCTAAAACAGAGAGGGAAATAAAGAGGTAATTTTAATACTGAACACTAGTTGGCACATGGAAATGGAACAGCACTAAAATGGACAGCCACAAAAGGGGGCCTTTTGAAACATCAACTGGAGCTTTGTAAATCAGTTTCCCCAAAACTAGGGTCTAAAGAGAGTCAGATTATAGGACCACCACATTTGGCATACAGCTTCTTCTTCCCATTTTCCAGGCAGTTTAAGTTAAGGTAAGTACCAGGAATGGGATTATTTCCCATAACGTGGAAAGGGAGGGGACAGAGCAGAAGGATGCGAAAGGGAGGGACGTAATGCTGAGAGTGACCACTGGGGGCAGCTGCAGCACCAAGAGAGTGGCCAGTAGAGCTGGGGCTCTGCCATCTTGCCTGCCAGCACACCGGTAAAAAGCCCCCCTGGATGAAGCCTGGAGCCTGCTTGCTCCCCATAGAAAGCCTGCAGGCCACGGAGGGTGTTGGAGGGGGGCAGCCCCCAGAGCCTGGTCCCCCCAGACAGCCTGCAGGACATGGGGTGGGAGGAACCCCCAAAGGATGCTGAGGTCAGCCCCTAGAGCCTCACCAATGCCCCACAGCCTCCAGGCCATGGGTGGGGCCTCTGGAGGCCAGGGACAGCGCCCTGAGACTTCCCCCACCTCCAGATAACTTGCAGGCTATGGAGGGGCCTTTGGAAGGCAGGGCCACCACTGGAGCCTGCCCTTCCCCCAACAGCCTGCAAGCCCCCAAACAGGCTTCAGGAAGGAGGGGGCTGCTGAAGGCCAAACAAGCTGTGGGCCACGGGATCGGTGCTGGAAGCTGGGACCTCTGAGCCTACCCCTCCTCCTCACCAACCAAGCTGTAGGACGGGGCCAGCCCTTGCAGCCCCAGCCTCTTGGGAGGAGCTGCCAGCCAGCAATTACAGTCCCAGCCCCGCAGGAGCAGCTGTCGAATGGAGAGTGCCGCCATGGCCTCTCAAGATGAGCTGTCACTGGGCAGCCCCAGTAACCTCCTTCCCCCTCCCCAGCCTCCCAGTCCCATGGCCTGGGGCCCCTGCCCCTCCTATTCCTTGTCCTCACTCCTGTACTCTCACTCTGTCTCTGAGCCCCTCCCCCGGCACACAACCCTTTGCTCGGAGCCTCCCTCTCCCATCTTCCTTCCATATACTGTCATGTAAATAAAGCGGGTACAGTTTCCTTTTAACAAGCCCCAAACAGTTAAGGACCTGAGCAATGCCAAGTACATCTGCTAGTAAGCAATAAGCCCCCAGGGATCGGGGCCTTTGCAACTGTTTATACAATCAGTATATTTCGTGCCAACCTTGCACAACTACTCGTTGGGTCCATTTATCCAAACTAAAGTTCTTGTGCATTTCAATGCTCTGTCTGCTCAAAAAAATTAAGGCGGCAAGAGGGTGGAAACACACGAACAGATCCACAAACCAAAGCATCACAAGTCTAATTTTAGGCCTATCTCCCTTAGCGAGGCAATTCCACTGAAATTAGGAGACTGCTTTTGATTACAAGCCTCAAAGTTCTGGGAATTTTCAGACAGCTCAGAGTACCCATTTTATGTGCCATTGTTTACATTGTTCTAGAACAGCTACATATGCACACTATTCAAGTTAAATATTACTTGCTCATATATATAAAAAAAGACATTTTTATGCCAATATATTTAGGAAACAATATCAGTTAAAAGGAACTGAAATTAAAAGAACCCAAAGTGAAATTGCCAGAGGAGAGCAATAGTAAGGTTGTAAAAAAGAGGACAGATGGGAAGATGAAAAAAGCTCCCCCCACCCCCAAAAAAACCCAACCAACCAACCAAACAGGCAGTCAAATTTATGAGTGTCCAGGAGATTTGTCTCCTTTTAACTGAAACAATTTATTATGGCCACCCCCCATAACAGAATAATCTAAAGGAACAGATATCCTGAGTGAGCAAGTTTGATGGACTCAGACAATGGTTTGATTTCCAACAGTTATTAGCCACCTTACACATATCTGCAACGGGCTTCCAAGCCTGACTGAAAAAAAGCTGTTTCTCCTTGTAAAATATGCTTGAGTATTTCAATGTGCTGTATAAGCTATACCTCTGAAAACTGGTCTAACACCACCTCTGGTCTTCCTAGACCAGAGAGCCTGGGAGCCTAAGGACAGGAGAGACAGATGGGAGCTGGGAAAAACAGGGTCACCAGCTGAGTTGGAGGCAGCGCAGGACTAGGGCCGGAATCCTCTGGCAGCCTGTGCTGGCAAGGGGCTGGAGCCCCATGGCAGCCCCTGGGAACATGGGGTTGGGATTGGAGCCTCATGGCAGCTCAGGGTAAGATTCTCATGGCAATCCCAGGAGTGCGGCCAGAGCTCCGGAGCAGCTCCCTAGAGTATGAAGTTGGGATCAGAACTCCATGGTAAACCCTGGGGAGGGCAAGGCCACACTGGAGCCCCACAACAGAACCCTAGGAACATGGAGCTGGAGCCCCATGGCAGAACAGGGCTGGATTCTCCTGGCACTCACCAGGAGCTTGTGGCTAGAGCCCTGGAGCAGCTCCCTAGAGTGTGGGGCTGGTATCAGAGCCCTGTGGTAACCCCTGGGAGGGCAAGGCTGGGCAGGAGCCCCATGGCAGCCTGCAGCAGCATGGATCTGGGGCCAGAGTCCCCAGCAGCCTATGTCAGCACAGGGCAGAAGCCCCACTGCAACTCACAAAAGTCTGGGACCACAGCCCTGCAGGAGTCCCTGGAGGTTGGGGCTGGGACCAGAGCCCCTGCGGCAGTCCCCAGGAGTGAGGGGTGGGGCTGGGCTGGGCTGGAGCCCCACAGCAGCCCATGGCAAGTAGGGCCAGAGCTCCACACCAGGAGCGAAGCCTGTGACGTCCAGGGAGCTGGGAGCAGGTGGGCAAGCAGCCCAGCCAGGTTGGGGCGGAAGGCGAGTCAGGGTGCCTGCTGGGGCAGCCTGCCGGCAGCAGGTGATAGGCTTGTAGACTGGTGGCAGGAAACCTTCCCTGGCAAATCCTCTTGTTTGGGACCGGTCAGATCCCAACAGTGCTGGACCAAGGTGGTCACTCAGCAGCAGGCAAACAGACTGTACTTCCTGCAAAAGCTATTGTCTACCTACACTAAAACACTTTCACTGTTCAATCATGTTATGAGAGTCCTACAGGCAGCTCCATGCCTGCCACTACTGACACTGCTTGTAATATAATAAAGCAACTTAATTTTTTTGTTGCATTTTAAGCAAAGTGGGCCACATCCTGAGACTGATGCCAAGGGGGGTTATTGGTATACATTCTGTGGCAGAATTTGGACACAAGTAAAACGTAAATCTGTTGTCGATTCTCCCCACCACAGTACTTACAGTGACCACAAGGCACCCAGTTCATAACAAACCACCAAATGTTCAGCATTGTTGCATGGTGATAGACATGAAGAACAGTGATCTGGTAACTATTCTTTCGCAAAATGAAAAAGAAGGTGTCCATGAACTCGATGAGTTTGGACAAGTAGTACCACCAAAGGACACGTACGATCTAGACAGAGAGGAAGGAGAAAAAGAAAAATTCAGGAGCTGTTTTCTACACCTTTTGAGTGTGTTTTTACCCTGCTTTAACTCAAGTCAACAGAACACATCTAACTACTTTTAGATATTTATGGTGATCCACTGAAAAGCTTAGTGCATTTCTTGCATTAAGTTTTCTGTAAGAGGCACAAGTCTAAAGACAGTTATAATTGAGAGAGAGGATTATGAGAGGATATTTATGAGGCTATTAAAGTGCACTGAGACACCAGGCAGGATGTCTAACCAATGTATGTATTCCTACTATGTTCTCTGTGGAAAACAAGTCTGAACAGTAATCAGAAGGGAATAACTTCTACATATCATAGAAGTTGTTTTCTGAGCATGAGGGAAAAGCAATTCACTGCAGGGTGATCAGGTGGGGGAGGAGATGAACAATTAAAAATGAATTTTAGAATAGTTTAAATGTGCCCAGATGCTACAGTAATGGGCATAGTACAGTACATGTGAAACATCACTCAGCATCAAGAGGTCTTTTCAAATACCAAATATGATTAGATCAGTGTTTCTCAACCAGTGGCACGAGTACCTTTGGGGGTACTCAGAGAAGTCTGGGGGGTACGTCAACACAACTAAAATTTGGAGAAAACTGAACTTTTGTTTTAAGTTTTACAGAGTTTTATAATTTTTGTACTTTTTACACCCAAAAATTAAGTCACCTGCCCAGCTATGATTAAGTGGTTTATACAAATGTGTTGCAATGGTAGAAAAAAATTGTGTGTGTCTGAAAACTATAGGTACTTGGGGGAGGGTAGTTATAATTTTTTTAAAGGGCTACTTTATTAAAAAAAAAGGTTGAGAAACACTGGATTAAATCGTACTAGGGACTAATTGACAAGCTTCAACATGTACTTCTGGTGCACTGAGCAACATGGAGGGGGAGGGAAAGAATTTATTTAATATGACTACAGACAAACCCTGCTCTGTTCTTCACTCATCTGCAAAGAGAACATTTGAAGTAGCAATTGAGTTATAACAATGTTACCTTCATATCAGCTTCACCTCCACTGTGTGTATCCTGACAGAAGAAATTGTATCCTCCTTCCCATACTCCTGTCAGCAGCTGACAAGATGAAAGAATAAGGCATCATCATCTGATGAAAACACTGCAGTTTACAATACACATGAACCATGGCCACAGCTTTACTGACCAATTGCAGGCCATCCAAGTGAAATATTAGGTTACAATGTAAGCCCCAAACAGAATCATGGTAGTGATTGAAAACCAAGTTGATAACAGTTCCATATTCTTTCCTGCCACCCTGACCACTTCAATGACTGTGTCCTGGAATATACAGCACAGGTAAAGGTCCAAGCCCTATCTTTTGAAAGGTTTGTGTGTGCGCTTTTGAATAAACCAATTTTAAAGCACAAAAATGTTTAACTGAAAGTGCCATGATTCTGTGGAAAATGCTCAAAAGTAAATTTCCCCCCCAACTGTTTGAAGAAAAGAGTCTTAAGTTTTATGTGCACAAAGTATCAACTAGGTATGGAAAACTGCTGGAGTTTTACAGCCCTTAAGCTGTAAAACAGTCCAGTGACTTCTGATAGCAAGCATACTACCTGAATATTTCTATTGTACCAAAAGTTGCCCTACACCTAATATTTCAAAAGTTACTGAATTTAAATCATATTAACTGTTTTACTGGTTTGGAAATAGTTCACCTTTCTTCCACTGTGTCAAATGATTTCACATTTTCAGAATTATTTATTGTCTGAAATCATGAAGAGTCAGTACTCTCTGCTATGTTTTGATTCTCCTAGCTTACTTTAAATATAAACCTTTCAATGATGGTATGTTCCAGCCAGTCAAATGACTACCTGTATATATGGGTGGTTGTCCATCTCCTAGCATTGCGTGCCTATAACACTTATGATAAAGGTTCTGCACACCCTCATCATATGTGCATTAATACTTGGAATCAAGCTATATGTTTTCATTTCTTTTTCCCTTGCTACTATGTTCCCGTTACATCTGTTGAGGCGAGTGGATTATGTTTGGCTGCTTCCAGTTTTGTAGGGTATGTCTACAGTGCAATTAGACACCTGCAGCTAGCCTGTGCCAGGACTAGGACTAAGGGGCTGTTTAATTGCAGTGTAGATGTTTGGGCTCAGGATGCAGCCTGATCTCTGGGACGCTCCCACCTCAGGGTCTTAGACCTGAGGCTCCAGCCCTAACCCAACTGGCATAGGCTAGCTGTGGGTTTTTCATTGCAGTATAAACTTTTCCATAAGGTAGGTCTCCGCAACGAATGACGAGACTCAGCACCCAGTCGACACACTTGGGCTTGCACTAAGACATTGCAACTCAGGCATGAGCATGGCCTATCAAGTCTGAGGGCAGACTCCAGTGACCCAACTCTAGCCTGAATGGCAATGTCTACACAGCTATTTTTAGCTTGTTACTGCAAGACCTGTTAGCTTGAGTCTGTCAATCTGAGCTCTAAACCTTGCTGCCACAGGCTGCTGCTTGCTGTGTAGACATACCCACAGATTCCCATCTGTCTTCCCCATCCATATCTAGTAAATTAGCCATACTATTATGAAGGTTGGCATTTTTGACACATTTATTTATTTACAAAAGAAGAGTGGTAACTAAGTTATACAATTTCCAGGTGCAAAAAGTAGTTCAGCCTTATCTAGGAAAAGCAGTTCTGAGTAATCATTGCTGAACAAGAGTTGTCCATTTCTGGCCTCCCACAACCCTCATGCTAGAGCTGGGTTAGCCAGTACACTTATTCACAAGTACTTGACAACAAAGTACTACTGTAGCGTTGCCCTGACTGTCACCAGAGATGACTTGGGTTACAAAGAGTTTTACATAACCATTTTAAAATGCAGTAGTTAAATAAAATAAGGATAAAAGGTGTTAATTTACTTGAATGTACCTCAAAATTTGAGGGGGGGGGGGTAATAAATTAGTTATGTCTTGTAGAAGTAAACTGCTTAAATGGCCCACACATTGCTAATGTCATTTTTTTCCAGTCACTACAGCATTATTTTCCATATTTTTTTGGACCAGTTACAGTTTTACTTTAAAAATCAAAACAAAATCCAAAGTCAGTTTGTATCACCATTTTTCATCTTCACTAACACCACTATTTAAAGCAAACATTAGCTATACACTAGTATTCACTACACTTCAGAGTCCTCTTATGAATGGCATGTATGAGAGGACTGACCTGAATATCTCCATGCCACAAAGAAACTCTTATTGAGGAAGGACCATTTCAGCATTACATGTGACTATAAGCTAAAAGAACCAACAACAATATATCCATCCAATCCACTTTGTCAGTTTAACCAACTGCAAAATACAAATCTACTACCATAATTCTCACCAAAAAAGGACCCTCGATCTCTATGTGCACCCACATTTAAAAGCAGAAGCATGACAAAGAACCAACTTCATTTATGGACAGTGAGTGCTGCATTGAGACCATAAATTTATGACAGTATGGAAAGAGCTTCCAATAACTGAAGCCTGAAAAGCCTGTAAAGAATCTTTAGCACTCTCAAGTTAGTCAAATAGCATAAAACCCTGTTTCAGCACAGTGTGTGGAAAAAGCTTACATAAGTCTCATACTTCAAGGGGCCATTAAAATGTAGAAATAACCACAACATTTACACTGCATTTGTTCCAATTAGTGAAGATTTGCTTCAATCAACAGCCCCACATATCATAAGCTTATTTTTTCCAGAGTAATCAGTATGTTTGAGTTGTGCAATCCAAAATGGGTTTGTTTTTTTAAACTTGTAAACAAATCTGGTATGAAGTTCTTCCATTTAAGTAAAGTACCCAGTGGTGTTCTGATTCAGCCTTTTAAATGGAAGGAAGGACCTGTAGTCAGAGACTATTTCAAATAGCTTACTACTAATTTGTTTCCAGAAGTGCTAACAATATGCTCTGCTTTTTTTAAAACAGGAAAAGTAATCAACCATGCTTGCTTTTTCTAAATTACTCAGGTTCCTTATAGCCACATTTATTAGCTTTACATTATTTCAGCACATATTAAAAGGACAATTAAAGAACTAGTTAATCACAGATGGGACACACTGACCTGAGCATTAATTGTTCCCAAACGTATTATTTACCTAGCTGCAAGTACTGGGATAACATGTTGTTTATATTAATGTTACTCTCTACATGGCCTGCTCATTTCTGTGCTATCATTTGATGTACAACAGTTTACTAACTTGCATCCCACACCTAGTCTCTGTTTACAGGAGATGAGACCAGTTCAACATTACTGCTGGTATTGACTGGCTCTGCAATAACTCTTGACTCACTTGGGAATCTTATGTTTATAGCATAGGTAGGTCCTCTAACCACTTATGGGCTAGGAATCTCTGTACTGTTCAGCTGTAACTGGGAAAGTCCTGTAGCTTTACTTTCAATTTGGCAGGAACCCAAATGGAGTTCAATTGTTTTTCCTAATGATACTGTGAATGCTAGATCATGGACATGTCTTTTCTTGTGAAATGCTGCTTTCTACAAAAGACTGTAGCAGAATGGAAGAGCAGTTAACAGCAGAAATAGAGAGTGTACATGATGTTTAAATTACACAAAGTTAACCATTCAAAGACAACTTTAAAAAATGCTAATAAAAATTAACAGTGCAGTCATTAGTTAATAGGAACCAAAGCAGAAACTTGAACATAAAATGAGCATTCTGCAGTTAAATATTTGTTTTTGTCCTTAGATTATAGCCTGTTACATAATTAAAGCAAAAATAATAGCAGACAGGGAAAAAGTAACTGCATTGCTGAACTTTTTATAGTGTTTTTGGGTTACCATTTATATCAAAGACCCTAAACAAAATAAAACCGTACAGCAAATCTTCCCTACAATGTCTGGACTGAGACACCTTAGTGAGGCAATGTGTACAAATCTGCTGCTCTGTTGATACAGAACTTTAGCCTCCATGCTGTCAGCAAGCGCTCCAAATTAGGATAAGGGACCCAGAGATAGCACATATTAATTAGCAAATACAAATGAACAGGGGAACTAGAGATCGCAAGAATTTTATATTAAAATGGAGAAGAGGCAGAAATTCAAATTATATTTTTCTGATCTTAAGAAAGTAAACTGAAGGAAAGTACATAAAAAAATGCTCTCCCCCAATATAACCACCTCAGCACAAAGTGCATCAAAACCTAAAGGAAGCAGTCACTTCTCCTTGGCTTACAAGATCAGAGGAGTCATGTTGTCTCTTGAGAGCGAGAGATATCTTTGCTTTACAGCAGTAAGATGCTCTTTAGTCCTGAAAACAGTCTTACATACCAGATGCTTATTGTACAACTTCTGTCCATCTCAGATAAGTTAAAAGAGCAGAAATAAATAGATTGGGAAGGTCACTTATCGGAGATGGAAATTTCATCATGGACTACATTCTCCTATATAATTTGACTTGTCCATCACTTGGGTGCTTTTGCTAATGAACACTAAAAAAGTTAACTAGCTATTTTTACAACAGAGAAACAGGTAATCAGTTTAACATAGGTCATGCCTACATAAGGAATAATTTTACAGGTAAACCTATTCTGTCCCCAAGGCAAAATTTGTATAAAATAGAGACTCTTGAAGCACAACTCTGTCAGTTAGGTATCACACCTCTTCACACTCTGGGCAAATGTCGAAATCATGGACAGAGTCTATAGTGCGCTTTGAGATCTACTGATGAAAAGTGCTGTAGAAGAGCAAGCTATTCAGTAACATGAGCTACTTTCTATATGCAGTGATGGAAATTTTTAATGTAGAAGGAAGTTATAATTTTAAGGCTATACCCTGGTCCCACTGAAATTAATTAAAGTTATTTATTTATAAACAATATTTCACATTCTAAGAGTGATGGAACATTATCTGAATTAAAAAACTTTACAGGGAAGCTCTCTATGACTAGTAACATTATTAAGTTTGCATAAGTCCAAATGTTCTCCTTCAAAACAAAGATTTTAAAATATGCTATAAAACAATTATGGTATGTCTACATTACAGCACTAATTCGAACTAACTTAATTCGAATTAGTTAATTCGAACTAAGCTAATTCGAACTAGTGCATCTAAACCTAAAAACTAGTTCGAATTAGAGTTTAGCTAATTGGAACTAGCATGTCAACATTGAGTGGGCCCTGAACCGGGGTTAAGGATGGCCGGAAGCAGTGCCGGCAGGGCATCAGATTAGGACTTAGAGCGTGGAGCTGCTGTCTCAGGCTAGTCGAGGGCTGTGCTTAAAGGGACCCGACCCCCACCCCGCCCTGACAGTTCTCAGGGGTTGTCTAACTCGATGAGGGACAGCAAAGCAGTCCTGGCTTGGAGTGCCCACACTTGGCACATCACAGCACTCGGCCATCAGCCCGGCTGCACTTGCCGCAGGCTGTCATCCGGGGAGGGGGATCAATCGGGGGGCTGCAGGAGAGCTTCCACCACGAGGAGCCCGCAGAGCCACCCCAGTCCTCCCCATTGGGGGCTCGTACCCCATTCCTCCCTCACCTCCTTCCACTTGCCCCTCCCTAGCCCCCTTCCTGATGTACAAAATAAAGGACACGTGTGTTCAGAAATAGAAACTCTCTTTATTGAACAAAACTCGGGGAGACTGGGAAAAGGAGGTGGGAGAGGGGAAGAGAGAGGGTGAGAGAGGGGAGGGCAACTAAAATGATCAGGGGTTTGGAACAGGTCCCATATGAAGAGAGGCTAAAGAGACTGGGACTTCTCAGCTTAGAAAAGAGGAGACTGAGGGAGGATATGATAGAGGTCTATAAAAGCATGAGTGGTGTGGAGAGGGTGCATAAAGAACAGTTCTTCATTAGTTCCCATAATAGAAGGACTAGTGTGAAGGTGCAACTTCTAAGAAAACAATACCACCTTTAATACCTAACTTACAGTTTCTTTCCCATCAGTAGATCGCTTAAATAAAGGAGGTCAGTATCACAACCTTCATTTTACAGATAGAAAACCTGGCACGCAGAAATAGACAGTAAATTACCCAAAGTCAACCAGTTGGTCAGGGGCAAAGCCAAAAACAGAACACCAGTCCCTAACGTGCTCAAAGTACACAGAACCAGACATTAGTGATGGAAAAAAGGATTTAGTAATTACTACAGATGTTAGGATATAGTTGTGTAAATGATTAACCAATAAGACTGGATTTATCAGTTAATCTTAATGACTACATGCACTCTGATACTGCTGTATCAGAGGCAACAATGAGGGGAGAGGCAGGAGCCTGTGTGTGGAACTTGTGGAACTAGCTTTTAAACCGGCTGCCCAAGAGCACCAGATCCCACAGAGCCACCTGCTCCCCGCCCCCACGTGGGTGCTTCTGATAGACAGGCAGCAGCACTGAGTGAGGGGGGCAGGCAGGAGCTGGTACATGTAGGGAGCCAGCTTTTAAGTCAGCTCTCAGCACATTCCAGCTCCATAGAGCCACCTGTCCCCCCTTGCTGCCTCCTATAGAGGTGGGAGGCAATGCAGGCAGGAGCTTATACTCGGGAGAATCTGGCTTAAAAGCTGGCTCCCTACAAGCACTGGCTTCGTGGAACCACCACCCTCCCCTCCCTGGTGCTGCTACCTCTATATCAGAGGCAGTGTCCGGGGGTGGACAGGAGGGATGCCAGCACAGCCCCTGGTTGCATGGGGGCAGGGCCCCCTGCGGACAGGGGCTGCTCCGCAGAGCAGCCTGCAGCCATGGCAAGCCCAGGTTCACCACGGACAGAGGCTGCAGGGATTGGCAGAGCAGCCTCTGTCTGTGGGGAGCTAGGGCTTGCCAGGTGGGAGCCAGTCTTGGGGAGGAGGCAGCAGTCTGGAGTGGCAGGGGGCTCCCCGGGAGTGGAGCCAAGAGTGCACTGGTCACTGGCCCCGCTCCTGGGGACCATTGAATTATCATGTAACCACTAAAATTTGGTGCAGTTATACGATTATTACACTATATCTAACATCCCTTACTAAGCCTTCTCGCACCCCATTTCAAAAGCATCATGTAGAAAATAGGAGTATTATTCTGATTGCTAGAAAGGAAGAGATCAGCTGCAATGGGAATCTTATCTACAGTTCTTACAGTGCCAAAGAAAGCTGCAGTCGTGTGTGTCAGATTAAGATCTTCGTCATGAACTCAGTGGTGATACTGTTTAAGTTTAAATTTATTAGTAAACATTTTTGCATGGACTAATCACATTTATACAACTATTTCAGAGATAATGAAGAGATATAAAACTTAACATGGCAAAAAAAGTTAATCACTTTGGCTACGTCTAGACTGGCATGATTTTCCACAAATGCTTTTAACGGAAAAGTTTTTCCGTTAAAAGCATTTGCGGAAAAGAGCATCTAGATTGGCACGGACGCTTTTCCGCAAAAGCAGTTTTTGCGCAAGAAAACCCCGATCACCATTTTTGCCATCGGGGCTTTTTTGCGCAAAACAGTTTTTAGCTGTCTACACTGGCCCTCTTGCGCAAAAACATTTCCAGAAAAGGGCTTTTGCCCAAACAGGAATGTCAAAGCATTTGCGCAAGAAGCACTGATTTTGGACAGTAGAACGTCAGTGCTTTTGCGCAAAATCAAGCGGCCAGTGTAGACAGCTGGCAAGTTTTGGCGCAAAAGCGGCCACTTTTGTGGAAAAACTTGCCAGTCTAGATGCAGCCTTTAAAAACCTACTAAAAACATTAAATCCCAGCATAGGTGAATATTCTTATTGATCTTGTCAATGGGGTAGGATAGAATGTATATTTTCTGGATCTTTATATTGTTAGATAAAACAGACACACGTTGCCACTCAAAGATGAAGGAATTATATTAAATAATCCAAGTTTTTTTTGTTTAAAAAAACCAAAGGAATCCCGTGTATCATCATATTTCTGTTTTGGAATAACTAAGAGGACTGAGAAGATATGATTCTCAAATGTGCAGAAAAGCAGATACATTATAGTCCACACTCCCTAGTGAGATGCGATGTAACTGCCCCATTTTTAGAATAGCTTCACCGTGGCTCTCTTTTAGGTGAATAGTTAGGAACTACTCAAATAATATTAAGGCTTACCTGAAGGTTATAACAAGACATGAAAGTTGAGTTTTCCTCTTCTATTGTATGCTGAGGGAGAGTTGCACATTTCAGAAGTACTTATTTTGCCTTTTAGTCTGTACAGACCTGGCACACTATCCTAAGGCATTAATTAAAGTGCCCATATGAATTGGTAATAGTGGTGATATTCTTTGGAGAAGTGACCATTGATGAACTGTTGCAACATTTCTGTCTTTATTTTACCAAGTTTACCAATATGCACAATAGACAGGTCTTTGGTTTAAGTGGGATTAAATAGGGTAAAAATACTGCAAAACAAACCAAAAAACCATCCTACCTCATAAAACATATAAAGCGACAGTAGCGTTAGTCCAAGGTTATAGACCACTAGAATTCCCCGGCATGAGAATGGTTGCTTATTTTGCATGTACTTTGGTCCTAGCCATACGATTAATAAGTAGAAGACGGAGAAGATAAAAGTAGGTGTATAGTTATCCAGAAGAAGCCATCCTTTTACTCGGGGATCTGAAATAGAATGAAAAAAACAAAAACAAACACAAAAATTACTCTCAATTTAGTTAATGGAAATATATTTAAAACATTGAGAAAACAATCACCTAACATGAACCAAAGAACAAACAGCAAATAAAACTTACTGGAAATGCTGATTGCTCTGAATTACACAGTAAATTTAATATGTAACAAGGTTACATTTAATCATGTTATTGCTAAGCAAAATGCAAGTAATGCTGTTCCCAAAAAAACACTGTTTTCAAAGGGGAATTATTGCTGCTATGTGTTTTAAACTATTACTTACTAAAATTTAAAGCAGATAAACTTCACCATTGTTGGCAGTGATTGAATGAGAATTTAATCATATGTGCAAACTGGACTCCATTTTAAAATCAGACTCCATTTTGAAATCACAAACTCCATCTTGTCATCTGGAAATGTGGAGGTAAATAAGAACAGATTCTAGCTGAATTTTCCCGCCTTGGACTAATTACCATATTAGCTTTATACCAGACCGCTGCAAATATGCTACTGTCAATCATTTATTTTCCTGCCACAAAAGACATAAAAGTGCCACCACTCAAAAGCGTGGAGCCAGTCTGTCCAGTCTTTGTGACTCGTCAAGACCAACAGACATCAGTGCTACTGCTGATTCCCTCACACACCTTGGGGCAAAGCCCAGTGGCTCAAGCTTGAGGTACACCAGACCAGAAACAGCTGTACTGCAGTGGTGCTGTGGAGCCTTTGAATCACTAACAGTGCTTTCTCCATGCCACTTATAGTGAAGGCTTAGGTGTGGTATTGAGGATACACTACATTAGGGTTCATTGACTTCCTCCACCACCTGAAGAGGACCCGTGGTGAAGACCCAGCTCTATTCTGGACAGTGCCATCAATCCTCACCCACCTCTTTATCATCAAGGAACGTGCGGTGGGATCGGATCACCTAGAGTTCCTCCCCTTGGCTGCTTGCCACTGAGTAGAAGGTCCTAGGTCCTCACCTGCTGTGTTAACATCTTGGCCAGAGACTGTAAAGTATTTAACTTACCTGCTTATTAGGGACACTTTCCTATCTTCTTTACTTCTATTTTGGAGTGTGGGGGTTGGATTCTAACTGGTGTACTGGGGTTTTACTGTTGTTTTGTGTGGTTATATGCTGTGTACTGTTCCAAATTCTTTCAATAGATTTGTTAAATTTATACCGCAGCTGTGTTTTCATTGGGCAATTATCCACTGGTGATAGATACAGTGTCGGGGAACCTGTTCTTCTGGTGTCAGGAACAAACTCCAACCAGATCCTAGTTTTAACCGAGTTCCTGGGTAACACCATGCTGTTTTTTAGGTCTTCGTTTCTCCCTAAAGGTCTCATCATCAACACAGCTAGTTTTAACTAGAGTCATATATGCTTATTGTATTAATAAAAGTACATTTTTAGTGTTTTTATTTATGCTAGTCCTTAGGAGCCAGCAAGGCTACAAGGGAACTGGATTTCTTACTGTAGACTGCACACTATATTCCAATCAATAAGTGATGCCCATGCAAACCCAAGGGAACACTGATTTTAGGCAAGTGTTACTCAGCATGGATTTCACTTTTGGAACCTTTTTATTGAGGATGATGAATAAGGAGGAAAAAACCAGCTCTACTGACAATCTGATTCCAGGGGGAGTTTGCAAGACTTGAAAGCAGAAGACATTTTAAAAGTAGTAAATGGAACCCGTTTGATATAGATATAAAATATTCACACCAATATGTCATCTGTTCTACAAAAATCACGTTTTGGACTGAAATACACATAAGGAAAGAGTCACAGAGAAGTTGGCAAATTGTCTTGTTCCATAAAAGCCTGTCTATAAAAGGGTCAAAATACAGTTTAACGCAAGCCTACACCAATTCATTTTAGACACTCTTCAGCAAGGAAGAGGCTCCAGCTCTATTTCAGTGGAGTCCAGAAGCCACACTGTAGTATAGGGGGACTCTACACTGCAGTTAAGGTGTCAGTGCAGCTCACGGAGCAGCTTTATTCCAGCTGAGCTAGCTTTACTCAGGAGCACTGACACTGCAGTTGCATGGGCTACAAAAGCCCACCCAGAACCTTCAGCCAGTATTCAGGCAGCTAGCACATGTGGGTGTCGACACAGCTACAGCCTCAACCAATCTGGTACCAGAGCTAACTCAACAAAACGAGTTATGTGAGTTGCCATCACACCCTATGACTGCAATGCCTCACAGCCGTTCAAAGAGAACCTGGCAGCAGCTTCTCTTAGCAGACTTGGTGGGGGCTGAGAGGAAAAGCCTGCAAGTGGTTTCAAGGCTCTTCTTTTCCATCAATGTTTTCAAAGCTACCTGACAAATAAGTAGCATAAAGCCACTACATATAACAGGTGCAATCACCTCAGCTAGAATACAGCATTTATTCTGTCACTTCGTCTCAAAAAGGAGAGAAGGAAATAAAAGATCTAATGAAGGTGAGCAAAACTGCTGAGAGGCATGAGACAGTAGTGATGTGAAGAAATGTAAAAGATCAGAACTAATAATCTGAAAAGGAGATTATATGATCGTCGTTTTAACTCAGGAATATTATGGAACATCAGTCAGACACTCATTTACTCTTTCATTCATTATAAGAGAGTACTTAAATGAAGAGCAAACTTAAAGCAAGGTACTTTTCATGCAATGTTTAGTCAATTTGTAGAACTTCATGTTGCAGGGTATTGTTTAGGCAATTAGCTGAATAAAATCTAAAAGAGGGTTGCCACTAAGGCTAGGTCTGCACTATCAGGTTTTCTTGGAAAAAGCTTTCCCGTCTAGATGGGGCCAAATGACAGAAAAGCCTCCTCTTTTGATGGAACCCGTATTCCTCATGAAATGAGGAATGCAGGGCTTCCCAAAAGAATGTGTTTGCTCTTCCACGAAACAAAGAGGAAGAGCAAACGCATTCCCTAGAAAAACCCCACAGTGTAGACATAGCCGTACAGGAATAAGAATAGAAGCTGCAGTACAGTAGCTCAGATAAAGTTTCAGCTCTATCAGTCCTCACTCTTCAAGTCATAAGCTGATCACCAAGTAGCATGATGTGCACTTTTCTCTGAATGCCACAGTTTTGCACAATTTGGTATTTATGGGCACCAAAGAAGTAGACTTCAACTACTATGAGCTTCAGGGTATTGAGAGCCAAACTCTTCCAGTATGGCAGTTTTTATTCATTTGAACTCTGATTCTAGAAATTAAATTTACATATTTATAAAATGAACAAGTTACCTCTTGGCCCAAGCCAGACATCCAGGTAGCTATTGATTGTTTTATCCAGTGATTCCATTGTACGACCTAGAAAAACAGACAGTGAGAAAAGAGTTATTTCTGCAGTCGATAATGTTCATGGAAAGCTGGGTGTAAATTGGGAAAGCATGCTAGCCCATACTGGATTAAATAATATTTTTGAAAAAAAGATTTTATTTAAACTGGATGTTTTGATTATAAAACTAACAATACTTTTTTTTAAAGACCTGTTAAAAATTAAATGTAACATGTTAAGTCCTCTTAAAATAGTTCAGTAAAGAATACATATGCTGAATCCATGAGCCACAATAAAAACACTTTTAGCTAAACGCTGCTTTTCTATATAAAGCAAAAATCAGGGGAAAATATCTAATTTTTTAGATCAACCTTCATAAACAGAGCACAAAGCTGGTGTACCATATAAAAGATTTGATCCTAGTGGATGTGTGGTTTGGGGGAAGTGGGCACTGTGCTAGTGGGTACAAAAACTAACAATGGAGCACTGATGTTGCAAACCAGCCTCTGATTCCAGGGACACCAGCATGTATCTTATCAGGATCATCCACTGATCCTACTTGGATTGCCTTATTCTGTGTTCCTATTTTATAGTTTCTTCTTACCTGAATTCTGACTGGCTCCGTACTTAGGTCATAAATATTAATGACTCAGTCCACCACAAAAACTTACTCTCCGGCTCATATGAGAGGGAGGTGAAGCTTATATATGTCAAACATTTAAGATTGCTTTGTTTAATAAATAAGTTGTATATGTTGTTGTGTATGTTTAATTAAATTCCAGTTACCATCTAAATGCAGCTTTACACAACTTGGGAGCAAGTAGTTAATTATCTAGTAAATCAGCACTAAGTTATTATTTTCTAACATACAGTAAAACCTGTGTTATTCGGCACACTTGGGGATTAGGGCATTCCGGTTATCTAAAAATTCTGGTTATCTGAGGGTCCTCATCAACCTAGGAAAAACCAATGGACTATAATAGTAAAACTCAAGTTTTCAATATTGGTAGTTTTGTAGTGTGAGGCAGGTGGTCTCATTTCTATTTTGAGTTAAAGAGGATTAGTACTTCTTAAATAAAAAATTGTTAAGCCAATCATGGTAAACCAAGCCACATGAAAATGTGACAGTATTGTGGCTAGGGGCAATGCCGGTTAACAAAGTTTTCTGGTTAACAGAGTGCCGGATAACAGAGATTTCACTGTACTACAATTAATAACAATCTTAAGATATTAAGCTATATAATTGCTTAACTAAATACATATTACCAGTGTACCCTGCTAGGTAGCAACAGTGACCTACTCCAGTAAAGCTCGTACTGCAGGCTATAAAACTGAAGTAAAAATGACAGGGCCTGGGCTGGATGCTTCTCCCTTGTGAGGTCTCAGAGGCCAGATGCTAGCTTAAGTGCAGGCATCTACACTTCCAATTTATAGCCTCACAGCCCAACTCAGGCAACAAACTAGCCATGGGTATTATACTGTAGCACAGATGTACCCTTAGTGCATGGCAGGCAATGTGGGATAGGTTCATGCCTCATCTGCCACAAATAAAATGTTTGTGTAAATAAGCCCATAGAAATACTGCCTCAGCCCAAAAGAGCAGCAATCTTTACAAAAAATTTTAAGTGCAGTATTACCAAAATCAAGTGTTCAAATATTAAGTCCAGCCCCAGGAAGGTTATGAGCTTTTTTCAATACTTTTAAGCCAAAAATTAACTAACTTTAGGGTTCTTGTTGTTTTCTTGTTTGTGGGCCTTTAGTTTATACTCAGATAATCTTTTCAAGCTTTGCTTTGCAACCACAAGGACTAGAAACTTTTATTTAAAAGGCTTGATTTGCACATTATTATTATTACACGCTAGAAGTTGGGACTTTATGCAACTTAAATATATGCGACTCAAAATAAAATTCACAAGTGCTGCATTTGGTTTAGAAGGGCAAAATAAAAAAATTCCATTTGAAGTGTAAAAGGTGTGGTATTAACAACTTCACAGACATGTTTAGTTAATTAGGAGCTGCTTCCTTGCAAATGTTAGTGTTAGCGCTCAGCTTGTAGGGGGAAAAAACCCAGCAACCCCCCTCCCCCACAATACATTAGTTTTTATTCACTTGGAATATTTCCACAAAGACTGCTTGAAGCAACTATATAAGGTCCTTACCTTAACATATAAAAGTTTTAAGAACAGCCTTACCAGAGATGGTTAAATCCCACTGCTTGATGTCTGAGGCTATGTCCACATACCTTCCCTCTTCTGCCAAAGCCCAAGCAAATGAAGTGTGGATTAGCATATTGCCGTGCTTTATTTGCATAATTAGGAGCCATTTTTGCGCAAAAACCTTGAGCAAAAAAGCTCCTAATTAATTATGCAAATAAAGTGTGGCAATATGCTAATCCGTGCTTCATTTGTATAGGCTTTGGCAGAAGAGGGAAGCTGTGTAGATGTAGTCTGAGACAAGTGTCTAATGGAACACTGAACACGTTTCAAACAAACAAAGAGCCCAACAACAAGTGCTGATGCCAAAGCAACTCTGGAAAGAGAACTTCTAAATCAGCTAATCAAAAAAAATAATTGCAGGAAATGTCCTTGTTCTAAATGTTTACATTTTCATGTAAACTGCAAAGTTTAAAAATGTAAGCAAATCTTAACAGATGGCAACATCTCTTTGTTTTTTCTTTTGTATGCCTTCTTGCTGGGTTAATGTACCCATTTTGGAAGCAAATGGTAAGAAACCCTTTTGAGGTCTACGTTAATGATCCTTCTCTTCCCTTCTCCCGCCCCCCCTCTTCTCCCCCCCAGCAGGGGGAAAGGTATCTTCTCACCTCACCATGTTAAATAATGGTTGCAGGATACGCCCCAGGTGCACAAGTGACATGAAAGAGTTAGACCTGAATCTTCTCTTCTTTTTTTGGGTTGCTTTTTTGTTTTAAAAGGATCCTCCAGGAAGTGATAAAATACAGCTTTTGTAACCAATAAGGTTTTGAAGCCCACACCAGGGAAAAAACACAAAAGCCTTCTCAGCATACCTTGTACTACTCACAAAGAATGTTGTTCATAAATCTGAGGAAGAACATGATACATGCTTTCCCCTGCCCCAAGCTCTGAATGCTGGTCTGCAAAATATATTTCAAAATTTCAATATCTGTCTAGAAGTCAAGTAGGAGCTAGAATTTTCTTTACTCCATTGCCCCACATGACAGAAGATTTGGAAGGAATCTGAGGTCTCCACTCCCTCCCAAAGGAAGTGCATAGAACACATACATGCACACAACACACCCAACTTCATCAATCCTTCCCCACAGTATCTCCACTGCAACACAGACAGTATAATCTTTGAATTTGGATCATATACAGGTGTAAATGCCTACTTGGGATAAAGTGACCAATTAAACTAATTTTAGGTATTTAGAATGGCATGAGTTTTCCCATTTACCAGTACTATTTTTGATGCATTTATACATTTTAATGGAATCACCTTCAAAATTATTGAATAAACAATGTTATTGAAACAAGCCACAGAGGCTTCTCCAACAGAATTCAACCATTTTGAAATTAGATAAGATGTTGGATCTGCACAAATTATCAATGCCTATATAAATGTCTTGGATACCCTGGAATATTGGTTTCCTGTGAAGAATTAAAAAACGGAAAAGAAAGGACAATGAGCAATATGTTTCTGATTCAAACAGGAATGTAACACTCTATAAAGGTTATAGGTAATAATGTGAGGAACCTAACTTCCCAGATGATAGTCAGCTGATGTGGAAAAATCTTCTGTCATGCTTTTATTAGCTGTCCCTCATGCACAGTATTCCCTAATGGGTCATCAATTTTGTGTTTGAAATCTCTATTTGCTCATCCTCTAAGCCATTACTTTGATCTAACAAAAACTGATTCAGTTATATAATATCAGAATTGGACAAATCATCTTCTGCTTCTTATTCTGATATTTTTAAAGAAAAAAATTAAATAGAAATCATATTACAAATTAGCAAAAAGCATTAACTGAATTCATATAATTGTTTGCCATACTTAATGTCAATAATTTCTTTATGCATGAAGATAGAGATGAGAGAACTAAGTAAATTTAAAAGCTGCACAGTGCTGAAACTAACAAGTGAAGTTTCTCTTCTGTTGAACAGGATGGAAAAGTAAAAAGTCTTCTGTAGAAATCTCACCCAACAAGTTAGCTTCTTCAATGTAACCTTTTTTGTTCTATTATCATCATGTAGTAGAATAAAAGTGAACAAACCCAGGAAGAAATTGCTTGGTGTCAGTCTACAGAAACAAAAAATTGTTTCATTCTGTTTCTCTATTATACAAATGAATTTCTTTTCAAAACAGTCAGCTTTTGTTTCAGAGGGTCATGGGAACATTCTTCAAGTTTCTTGCCAGTAACTATACAAAATTTAACTCTGCTTCAGCTGCTTCAGTGTGATAGTTTAGATCTTTTAACAGACATTTACTAGCACCAGAAAAAAAAAAAAAAGCTTGGCACAACCATGAACGTCTATCAAATATAAACATTATATATGTAATTAGTGATTTCCCGAATCTTGGAAATGCAAATCCTAGACAAACCATATCTTGTGGAAACATTCTCAAGGGGTAAGTATTTTGTATCTCTAATCATGTTATAGCTTCAAATAGTTTTACAAATAATTAATTATCTTATGTTCTTACAGCCCTCTGGATTTAGACAAACAGGTAGAATCCCCATTTTACAGATGGAGAAAGAGTCCAAACCACAGAGGGAGTTGAATTACAACCAGGATTAGAACCCAGAAACATGCTTAGTTCTCTTGAATACCCAATTGGAAATGATCTCTTTTTCATCTTTTGAACAACAATTAAGTAATAATTAAGGCCATCGCCAAACTAGCACTTACGTAGGCAAAAAAAGGTCACTCAAAGGCATGTAAAAACAAACCATCCTCATGAGTGACAATTTTTTGTAGCATAAGTGTTCATGTGCAGGGCACTAGGTCAGTGAGAGACAGTCACCAGCCAACACAGCTAACACTGCTCACTGT